ACTCACAGGACAACCACAGGCTAAAAGGGTTTTGGTTAGAAAAACACAGCTTGCAACACAGCAGGGCTAGCTGTCCCCCTTCAGCAGGAGTACTTACAGAAGTCTGTACAGCTCAGGGGCAGGGAGCAGATCTGCACTGGGTAGGAGCAGCAATCACCCTGGTATAGAAGCCCTATGATCACAGGAACCAGTATCTCTAGTAGCAACCCCACCAGCGCAGCTTCCAGAATCTCCACAAGGGACAGTTTTAAGAACCACTACATTCAGGGAAGCCCAAAGCTATGACTTCTTATTGGGTGTTGATAATTCTCCCTCCAGATGCAATGTACCTATCAAGTTATTTTTTATCATAAGCAATATTGCTAAGCAACAAACACCATTTCTGTTTCTTGGGAAATAGCTAGAGTTAACCAAAATTGTCAAATTCTCATCAAAAGGTTCAGGGCTTAACTCTTCACCCCTAGGTATCCCATCTCCTGTAAAACAAAAAATGGATCAAGTTTTGTTTTTTTCCTGACTTTTTAAAGTCACAAGTGGCTTTTAGAAAGACCCTTTTGGAAATACAAGCATATCTGAGGGGAACAAAATTGTTTTCTATGTAAGAGCTGGAGCACATGGTTGATGTACAAGATGGTTTGATATATTTTTTTCTTCACTATCTTCCTCTTTCCAGTGTTATTTGCCTGACCCAACCTATGCCAGAATGTGATAAATTGTTCCTGAAAATAATTCAGCCACTCCCTTTACATTTATTCTATCTTATCTTCATTGGTTCCATGTGGTTCTTTCCTTCCCACTCTATAATTCAACAGCCAAAGCTGTACTTCAAGTATACTCACCCTACAGATAAGGGAGGCAGAAACAGCTAGGAGACACAAAGGAAATTTTTTAAAATTTTAAAATTACCTGTGATATTAGGAAACATAACTGCCAGACTGCTCTTACAACAGGTAACAGAAACAGGAAAATCCTAGAAGCCCTCAGGATCACAAGACCTTTAAAAATCTCGTGCAAAGGGAGGGAAAACACATGAGTGTAAGAGAAATAATTCTTCAGAAGCAATATGGTTCAAATACTGGCTCTACCACCATTACTTAAGTAAATCATTACTTTTCTTGAACCTTAGTTTTCATATCTTTAGAATAGGGATAATTATAGTTCTCAGCTTGTAGGGTTGAGTTACAAAGTATACGGGATAATGCATGAAAGTACTCAGCATAATGTCACTAGAATCCCTTGTCAGCCCAAGTCAGATACCTGGAGTCTTCCTAGATTTCTTCCTCCCCACTTCCCTCTAATCCAGCCCAAGTGTCCTACCAACTTGACTCCTTAAATTCCTTTGGGCTCTTGCTCGGTGTCTTTCTAATGAGCATTATCTTCCTCAAGTGCTTTTGAGCTACTACTTCCTCCCTGGTCTCTGCTTCTTGCAGGCTTACCTAGATGCAATCCACTGACCTCCCCATAAAGTACCACAGTCATCTTCCTATAGTGAAACCCAATTGTGTCATTTCTGGATTAAAAATCATTACTTCAAAAAAAATCATTACTTCAGGGGTACCCAGGTACCTCAGTAGGTTAAGCATCCAACTCTTGGTTTTGGCTCAGGTCAAGATCTCAGGGTTGTGAGACTGAGCCCTGCATCGGACTTCATGCTCAGGGTTATTCTGCTTGGGATTCTCTCCCTCTCCTGTCCCTCTATCCCCCCGCCCCCGACACCCTTTGTACTCTCTCTCTCTCAAATAAATAAAATAAAAATCATTCCTTTAGTGGTACTTCACAGCTTTTAAAGGAAAGTCCCAAAGGCAAGCACATGTGGTTATTGCATACTTCTCTAACTTCATCACTTGTTAGCACTCCCCTAAACTGTTCATTTTGAATGTTTCTGGTACACTTTTATCAGTTTAAAAAGAGAGCATGCACCTCCTATAAATATGTACTTATTTTAATTATATACACATAGAAATATACTAATAAAACATATATATTATAAAATATATTTACCAAATAGAAATCTTTACAGGATGAGAAAAACAAGCATAATGGGGTGGGGGGATGCTCATATTTTCTTTGAGCATCCGGATGATTGTCTTGCATACCTTCCCCTCAACTTCCACTGCTTACAACTTCAGTCTTGTGTCATCTGTAGATTCCTGCATCAGTTCTCTGATGTCTTGTACTTTTTATATTTACTATGATTCTCTCTGCCTAGAACAGTCATTCATCCATCTGGCCATTCCCCTTCCTTCCTCCTTTCCATTCTCTCTTCCACCTACCCCTGCACCTAATTCTACCTAGCTACTTCCTCTGTATTTGGTAAAACTAAGCTTAAGTGTCACCAACACTCAAAGTTTTCCCTTACCACTCAGATGGGATAAGACTTCAAATTATTACATTAAAGGACACTGATAGAGACTATAAAAAAAACTTTTTTTTTCAGGAGATTATCACTTGGGAAAAGAAGTATTTGGCCTCATGAAGACAGCTGGCCAATAAGACTACCCAGGAAGTGGTATGACTGTACATTCCTTGGCCAAGGACAGGCCAAGGAATGTCCTTCATGACAAAGATTCAGACAATCAATAGGAAAGTTGATGTTCTACCACCACTACCCTCTCCTTTCCAAACCAGGCCCTCACCACTTATTTCATCTTCTGGAAGAACCTTTCAGGTTGCCTCATCACCTCCAGGCCTGGAGTCCTCCAAAGTACTCTATAAAATGCTTTCAAATCCTGAATGATTCCCTACTACTTATTTAAATCCAGCTTCCTTAGATGTGACATTCAGAGCTCTCTCATTGAAAGGGAGGCTTCAACCTCCCATTCTAGCCTTTCCCACCACAGCTCCACTGTTTAGATAACCTAAACTTCAGAAACATGTAACTCGCCTCTCCAAAACACGCCTGCACTGCATCTCACCGTATTTGCTCAGGTCTTTCTTCCACCTAGAATGTCCCCTCCCACGTAACTCAGTCTCCTAGATGATTCTGGAACCCTACTCATCTTTCAAGACCTAGGTCCACCCCCACCTTCTGACTGATGTACTCCCTGATCCCGAGTTCAACTGTATCACTTTTCATAGTTTAGAGAAAAATAATAGACTTAATCCTCCTTGCAGCTCTCTTTATATTGCTTTTACAAACTCAGCCCCAGTGCCCTGCTAAGATCACTACAGCCAATGGCAGATCTGGGGATTTGAATGTAGGTCTTCAAACATCAAATACCCGAGGTATATAACATAGCACAGAGGCTACCTTCCAAAATTTCTTGCACTCCCAGGGTACTTTATAATTTAACAGCACATTAATCCCAGCTCCGTCTTATGTTAGAGTTGGTGTCCTTTTGGTGAAGAGACCTCATCTTGTTCATCCCAGTAGCCCCCCAAAACCCCCATCAGGCTGAATTTAATTCACTTAGGTCTTTTACTTTACTTTGTGTCAAGTTCCAAAATTGCTGAAGTCAGTATTCCAGAAGCAGAACAAGGGTGGAAGTTGAGAGTGCAGGTGCCTCTCTGGACAAGTTACTCAGTATTTCTATGCTGGAGTCTCCTTATTTGTAAACTAGAGATAATAATTATGCCTTCTTCATAGGGTTGTCCTGAGGACTAAATTAAGTAATGTACTTCAAACAACAACGCAGGACCTGGCACACTCGAGGTATACCAGCTGCTACTACATATCAATTTTATGTCCCCCACATGGTATTTCAGGACCAAAAATTATTAATTTTAAGAAGTAATTACTCCATATAACCAAGAGAAATTTCAATGATGTGTAGTTTAAGTTAAGAATGCAAGAAAATGTATTTAACAAATTTTCTAAAGGTATCTCTGAAATCTATTTAAATAGCCCCATACACAAAATCCCCAGTTATCTAGGACACTAATTTATACTGAATGGCTCAGTTTATATTATGTGAAATAACTAGGTACTTATATTACATAATAATAATACATTAGAGGGTATACAAGGGAAATGAGTGTAGGAGGAAATGTTATTTCGTTCTTTCTTTCTTCCCCCTGAACTTTGCAGTGACTACTATTTTTCCTAAGTTCCAGGCGCCAGTCAAAGGCTTTAGCAATCAGAGGTTGTCTGACTCTTCACCCCAAGACAAAGAGCAAGCAGGGGGCAAACTCATCAACAGATATTCAATCCTCAGGAATTCAGAAATTCCCCCATCGAATGAAAAAAAGTACAAAGGCGTTTACTGACACGGACACTGCAATAAACCCCCCAAGCGGCTGCTGTGTCAAACCTTGCCAGCGTGGAGGCACCACACCTGAGTGAGTTACCCTGACTCAGTGCAGACATGTTAAGCAAGCCGGAGGGATGCAACAGGTCATTCCTCTTACTGGGTCTCTGCTGCGTTGAGAGGGTCGGTGAAGGGATCTCCAAGATTCCCCTTGGATCTAAGCTTCACGATTACTATCACTTCTCCTGGGGCCACCAAGCACAGGGAAGACAGAAGTGTGGCCGTGAGCAACCATTAAAAACCAAGCAAAGGCGAACTCTGGGGCGCGGTTAAACTCGGCGGGATCCATGATTAGTTTGCCCGAGTTAAGCCAGCAGCCAGAATAGGCTGGGATGGGCCAGCGTGGATTAGAGACCTTCGAACCTGGACTGCGAGTTCTGAAGCTGCTCTCACCCGCCATAGCTATTGACCCGAGGAACACGCACACCAGAGTCAAGGGATCTGATTCGGGGTTGGCCGGGGCTTCTAGTTACCGTCCCAAAATAAACAAGTTAATGCAAGCAGGGTCGCACTCTCTGGGGAAATGGATCCTCTCACTATCTCCTACTGGACACCCCTAGCCCTAGCCCTTCACCCGACCCATTCTGGTCCGCCCCAAGCGGCGGGAGCTGCAGCCACGGCCCGATGGCGTTCGAACCCAGCCGGAGCCCGGCCTAGCTGAGCCAGGGGATGAGCTTCCCACGTCTCCCCCGACACCCCGCTCCGCCCCGCCCCGCCCCGGGGCCGCTACTCAGAAGTAGGTTCTGCGCCAACCTTGGTGCTGGGATCCGGGTCAGAGCAGCAACCGAGGGCAGCCTCGTCGGTGAGGCCGCTGGATGCAGGCTGCGGTTCTGCCATGGCCGCAATGCTGTTTCACCAACTACGGTCCCGAGAACAGAACAGTCACCTACACTCCTCCGGCCGGGCGCTGCCTTTAACTCGCAAAGCCGAGAGGGCGCCGCGGGGAGGGCGGTCGCTGATTTCCAGCCAATCGCTGCGCAGAGAGCAAGTTGGCTTTCTGCTGATTGGGTCCCAGTGAATCAGACCCTCCGGCCACAGGACTCTACCCCAAGACTACAAGTCCCAAGGTGCCTTGCTCTTGAGGGGGCGGGGGAGATACCAAAAAATCTTGCCGAGTGGAAAGCGTGATTTCTCAGTATTGCTCGTTGATCTTGTTTGCGTTTAATTGTTAAAGTTAAGGAAACACCCATACCGCCCTGTTGCAACTTGGTAGGAAATTGGAACCTGATGGAAAGAGAACTGGGAGCTATCCTTTTTTAAAGTATAAGGATTCAAAAGTATTTTCTCAGTTTAAGCCGTACAGGATAATTAAAACAACTCTGATTTGGTCGAAAATCCAGGTTCGAGTTTTGGTTCCACTATTTATACGCTATAGAAGCATGGAGTAATTACTGGCCCCTCTCTGAGCTTCCTTGCAGGATTTTGGTCGGGTTCAAATGAGATTTAAGTCACGGTTTCACTACTTACGTTCTACATTAATTTTTCTAAGGCATATATTTTGTGTTCCTTGGAAGACTTAGTTATCACTGTTCTTTGATGACTGACACATAGCACATGGTCCATACATATTTCCTGTTGTTAGAAGACGAAATGATCATAATTAGTATAAACATAATTTAGAAAAGGGCTTTATGTTAATAAATTAATGTAGAATGAGATTTGACAAAGGGTTTTTAAGTGAATGGCAATGTCTATGTAAATTAGCAAGAAGATAGATGCATTTCAGGAATTTGGGTTGCAAGAAGTTGGGCAAAATGCAAGTTTATCTGGCTCACCTAATCAAACTGAAGCAGGACAGGGGTGCTTCTGGGGCCAAACATCTAGCACCCTGCACTTGGCCAACACCAAGACATCTCTGCATATCTCATCTCAGCTTCTTTCTTCATCTCAACTTCATTTTGTCACACTTATTTATTTCTCCAGTCTAGAAACTTGGAGCTCTCAGCCTCTCAGCCTTTTACCTGAGAGAGAGGGACCACCTCCTTGAATTCCAGTTTGATAAGGTCTAAAGAGGAGCTATGATTGGCCTACACTAGAACCTGTGCTTATTCTTGTGCTCAGGGTACTGTGATTGGCAGCCAGGGTTAGAACCACCTGGTGGAAGTGGGAGAAGCAGCAGCTCCCCAAAAGGAGCTGTTCTTATAAGAAGAGAGTAGGCAGTGTACTGGACCCACAAAACTTCAATATGGAAATAGACCTTAAAACTGCTAACCCAGGAACTGAGGCAACACAAACCCTCCGTACACTGTGTGTTACCACTGAATTTTTCCATAGGGAGCCCAGACAGAAGAAATTTGTCTGAGATATTTTACTGAAAAGACATCCTACACTGTTTTTTACCTCTGACCCTCTCATGAACTTCCCACAACATATGAGAGATAAACCATATAAGTGGATGGGAAGACTCCAGATCATAAAATATTGATTTGTAAATGAATCTATTAATGTGATACAGTTTAAAAAATGTTGATGGCTTTTTCATTGAACTGAATAAGCTGGTTCTAGATTCTATGTTTATTTATTTATTTTTTAAAAGATTTTATTCATTTATCTGAGAGAGAGAGCACACACAAGCAGCGGGTAGAGGCAGAGGGAGAAGCAGGCTCCCTACTGAGCAGGGAGTCTGATGCAGGGCTTGATCCCAGGACCCCCAGGATTATGACCTGAGCTGAAGGAAGACGCTTAACTGACTGAGCCACCCAGGCATCCCTAAATTCTATTTTTAGATCCCCAACTAGGCAAGACAGATTCGAAGAATCAATAAGTAGGGGAACCTACCCTTCTAGATAATAAGATTTATTATAAAGCTGCAATAAGTGTGATAATGGCACAGGTAGGTATAAGCCAATAAAAATGGAAACTGTGATAGGCAGCTCTAGATGACACAAATAATCCCCACCTCCAGGCATTCACAATCTTATGTTATCCCCTCCCCCCGAGTATGGATTTAGTGACTCACTTCTAAAGAACAGACTATGGCAGAAGTGATGGGATACCACTTCTGAGATTAGATTATATAGTGAGTCTTGTCTTGGGAGCACTTTCTCACTTTCTTTTTCTCCAGTCTCTCACTCAGAGGGTAAGCAAGCTGCCCCATTGTAAGCAACACTGTAGAGAGACTCATGTGGCAAGGAACTGTTTGAGGTCTCTTGTCAACAGCCAGTGAGGACCTGAAGCTGACCAACAGCCACATGTGTAAGCTTAGAAGCAGTTCCTGTCCCAGTACAGCCTTGAGGTAACTGCTGCCCTGGTTAACCCCTTAATTTTGACCTTGTGAGAGTCCTTGAGCCAGAACAATCCGTCTAGATCATTCCCAGATTCCTAACCCACAGAAACTATCAGACAACAAATTTTTGTTGTTTTTAGCTGCAAAGTTTTGGGGTAATTTGTTGTGTGGCAATATACAACTAAAATATACACACATACAAAAACTTGACATAGATCAGAGCTGGTACTGCAGATCAGTGTGGGAACGATCACTTTCTCAATGAATGGTGCTAGAACACCATAGTTTATCTATATGAAAAAAAAAAAGAAAAGAATTCTTTATTTAATGCCATAAAGTAAAACAGAAGTCCAAGTGTATTAAAAATATAAACATGAAAAAGCAAAACTTAAAAACATAAAGAGCAAAATATCAGAGAACATGAATTTGTGCATCAGACTTTGTGCTCAGCAAGGAGTCTTTTTGAGGATTCTCCCTCTCCCTCCCTCTGGGTCCCTCCCACCTCTCTCTAAAATAAATAAATAAATATTTTAAAAAAGCTAACGAGGTTCCTTTCATGGCTTTCAAATTGACAAAAATTTAAAAACTAAAAGTGTGTTGATGTGCATATAGGGCACATAGGATCCATGAATAAGGATATATCCTTATATAGGATATATATATCCTATATCCTTATAGGATCCATGAATAAGCATATATCCTAGAGTATGATTGTGCCTACACTCTAAGTATAAGATACATGGTGTGGGGGCGCCTGGGTAGCTCTGTGGGTTGAGGCCTCTGCCTTTGGCTCAGGTCATGGTCTCGGTGTCCTGGGATTGAGCCCCGCGATGGGCTCTCTGCTTGGTGGGGAGCCTGCTTCCCCCCTCTCTCTGCTTGCCTCTCTGCCTACTTGTGATCTCTCTCTCTCTGTGTGTCAGATAAATAAATAAAATCTTTAAAAAAAGAGAGAGAGAGACATGGTTTGAATAGAAAAAATTAATAAAACCTAAAAGTGTCCAAAACCAAGAAAATGACTTTATTTTCATGCAGCAGAATGGTATACATAAGTGAAAATGAAAGAATCAGAGGAACATATTCCAACATGGATAAATCTCACAAATAAATGAAATAATTGAAAGTTGCTGAAGAATCCATATGGCACAACACCATATTTGCAAAGTTTTAAATTGTGCAACAATATAATGCATTGGTTGGGGCTAAACACACTTCTAGTAAGGGGATCAGGAGGTGCCTGGGAATAAACCCACATTCAGGAACATGATTTCCCCTAAGAGATGATGGAGAAGAGGGGAGCGATATACTGAGGATTCAAATATTTTGACATTGTTTCATAACTATAGCCAACTTTGGATAAAAGGATAGTTGTATAATTCTTTATGTTTCTCTGTATATCTCAAATATTGTATAACATACTTCCAAAAACTGAAAGGGAATAAGCACCACATATAGAAATAAAAGGAAAGACAGCAATAACGGGGAAGGAGTAGGGTAGGATGGTCACTATTTGAGAAGACACAATTCCAAATAGAGCTTAGCAGTATTTCCTTTTTTGGTAAAGGGTTGCTAGTTTCCTACAGTTGACATAACACATTATCAAAACCGTGGTGGCTTAAAACAACAGAAATTCAGGGGCTCCTGGCTGGCTTAACTGGTAGTGCATGTGAATCTTGATCTTGGAGTCATGAGTTCAAGCCCCGCATTGCGGGGAGAGTTTACTTAAAATAAATAAATAAGTAGGGGCGCCTGGGTGGCTCAGAGGGTTAAAGCCTCTGCCTTCGGCTCAGGTCATGATCCCAGGGTCCTGGGATCGGGACCCACATTGGACTCTCTGCTCAGCGGGGAGCCTGCCCCCCCCGCCGCCTACTTGTGATCTCTGTCAAATAAATAAATAAAATCTTTTAAAATAAATAAATAAATAAATAAGTAAAATTAAAAACAAAAACAAAACCAGAAATTTATCCTCTCACTAGAGGCTAAAAGTATGAGATGAAGGTGTCAGCCTAGCTATACCTGCTACAAAGTTTCTGGGAGAGAATCCTTTGGCTCTTTCAGCTTTTGGTGGCTCCCAGTGTTCCTTGATTTATGGCAGCACAGTCTCTGACTGTGTCTTCATGTGGCCTTTTCCCTGAGTCTGAAATCTCTCTCCCCTTTCTCCTCTAAGGACACCAGTCCTAGGATTAAGGATCTGTAACAGCAGCCCTACTGGCCTTAAGTGTTAACTTGCTTCAAATTTACGCACTCCTTGCTTACTGACCTAAGTCTTTTGATCTACAGTAGAACTAACTTACTTTCCTTGCAATTTGCAGACCACTGGCCTTGAGGAGTGAAAGACCCAACTTTCCCAGAAGATAAGATCTGACCACACTCAGAAACAGTAGCTACTGATGCCAGCAGGTCTGTAAGGGTCGTGTAGGCAAAAAACTAACGGCCTGGGCACCTGCTTGCTTCTTCTGCACATAGCCTCCTCCTTTTTCTGTTCCTCTCTCTTGAGAACCGTCCAGCTTCCCCTGGATGAAGAAGATAGTCTTTGAGACTTTAACCCACCCTGTACCCAAGTTACTACCTTCCTGAATAAAGCAACTATTCTTTTCCCACCATCACTTGTCTCTTGGGTATTGATTTTCAAGGATTGAGCAGCCAAACCTGAGTTGGGAACCCGTTCT